CTCGCCATCTTTATCACGTTTGAGAACTCATCCATTTTCCATACTGAATCCTTAGAGTTCCTAGCTATCTGCAATCTAATCTCGGACAGCAATTTGGACATAATGATTGGAATTAATAGACTACCGTATTGATCTGATGTTACGCCGAGTGATGCCATGCCTCGGGAATGGACACATACTGTTAAAAGACAAAATTGGCATCTGGCAAGAATTTTCATTATGGGTGATTTTTTACTTATTTGAACGTGAAAATAAATGGAAATAAAATATCAGCATAAGCTATTCAATAAACATTGTAATTAGCCAGTTGATCATTTCTTATTCCTTTTGGCGGTCTTACCTTACAGGTAGAGTTTGGTCACCTTTTTCCTTATTATGAACGTGAATTTGACATGGAGACAGATGTTTTTGTGTAAACTGCGGTTTGCGGCTAGATATCAATATATTTCCATTACGTTGCTAAAAGATGATTAACTACTAAGAAAATGAGTCTACCTCATAAAAATTGATCCGTGCAGGAATTTCCTGGAAACAACCCTCCTTTATACTTTTACCCACTTAATACTCTCGTTTTTAGGCTAAAGCGATGTCGAATTGCCGATTCGGAAAGTAGTTTTTAATTTGAATTGAGCACGTTCGACACCTCTTTTTCTTAGAGGTGACTTCGGGTGTACACATGAAGTACTTTTCATCTTCCGCATTGAACTTGTACTCAGATAACTTATACGGCTAGCACGTAGCTCTTTCAGGGGCGGTACCTTGGGTACGACCATTCTTCTCCGAATTTTCTGTTTATTCTGCCGATATGTAGCAGTCTTCAAGGAATATTTTCTCTTAAGATATCTCTTCAAGTATGATTTTAATTCTGTTAGAAAGTTATTATAATTTTTTTATCAGTCAATTTTGTTTTTGTTTCGCTCGACCTCGACTGTAAGACTAAGAAATTTAAGGTGAAAAGTCATTTTGTAAAGCGTAAACATCGCGAAGGTATCTACTTAGTATGCGAACTCCGCTCTGCGTAGTTTAGCGTGATTGGCTAGTTAAGTGTAAAAGCATGACAAAGGTTAGATAGTGACAGCTCAGTAAGTGTCACCTTAAAAAGTGGTGACCCACACTTTCCTAAACAGGTCAGGGCTAATCCCCGTTGTAATAACTTGAGTAATAAGAGTGAATCAAGAAAGAGACAACAAAACAACGAGTGTTAGTACACAACTTCTAACAATATTCGATCGTACTCGTATCTAAGGCTTGAAGGGCGATCATCAGAACATGGTGACAACTTAAGAAGCTGATCCATATGTGTACGGATAATTTACTGGGGACGGTCATATCGTTCTTGCAATAATTTAACTGCAGCATCGTAGTTTGCCTCGGTTAACGTAAGACCCGGGATTGCTCAAACTGCCATTCTCTCAAGAACATAATTGAGATAATTAAACTTATCAATGTTAGAAATCTCTTCGTTACGATGTACCGCTACCTGAAATGAGTCCCAGAACGTGTTCCATTTAGTAACATCTCCTCTAAACTTCGGAAGGGATAACTTCGGTAATCTAGTACGAACAACATTTTGACTCACCGGCTGTGCCGTCGCTCGATATGATTCCACGTGTTATTGAGTTGACATGTTTGCTTTGCTTACATTGATGTGCTGAACGTATTTGATCGCGATCTTTTGTTTGTCATCGCGATTCCGCCCCACGTTGGGCGCCATTAAGTGAACGCAACACATGTTAATTCGTCCATTTTGATTTTTACACGACTTACACCATTACTTTTCCCGCGAATCGGGTTACATAAATTACGCAAAATGATAAATCACGTGATCATTTCCATATACGGATTGCTGGAATAAATTAAGGTAAAATACTTACTGCAGATGTTATAGGGAGAAATTGCAGGTTAATCACTCCTGGGAGTTAAAGGGTCAAGGTAGACAATAACAACATTTGTCTGACTCTCCATTGTTTACTTCAATTTTTTTGGAAAATAATTTATCGATTGAAGTTGAGGATGTTCAATAGTTGTTAAATGCAAAATTATTACACCATGTTGTTAACTAAAGGCAGACAATAACAACATTTGTCTGACTCTCTGTTGTTTACGTGTTACGGTATAATCTAACCGACAGAAAAACACTTAATCCCACATACTCAACTATTTTATTAAACAGCGGGTAATGTTCTTAATTAGGAGCGACTCCTAAATGCTGTACAATACTAATCGTAAATAAACTTATTTAAGCCCACTTAAATAAGTGCGTTTTTGCAGGTGCCATAAGCACATCTCTTTGTCGTAACCATTATGTTTAGATATACACTTACTAAACAACTGCAATCATATACATTCATACAGTTGAAATCGGTTTTATCTCTGGGAATCAAGGCTTCCTCACTTTCTTCTGCCGAAGTTTGAACTCATGTGCTGCAAGCTCGGCTCCATGTCCGAACTTTCGAGGTTTGTTTACATCAAAAGTCACGTGACACTACGTGAAATCACGTGAAATCTAAAGCCCAAAAGGTGAATTACTCATAACATACGCCAATTTATTTTCCATTTAACAAGTGGATGTCATGTTCAAGGCTTTATCTGAGTGTCAGGTTCTCCATCTAGTTCTCCATCCAGACCCTGAGAATGAAGAAGGAAAAGGCAAATCACCAATCATTGATTAAAATACTAATTGATTGGTCCTAGAGTGATACAGGTATGATCGATTGCTAGGCTCTCCACGCTGTGTTCTTGGACAAGAAACTTTACTCCCACAGCACTTTTCTATCTAGGAGTATGAATGAGTGCTGGTGAACTGCCAGGGAAATGAAATTCTAGCAGGTTCACTTCTAATGAGGGTGAGAAGTACTAGTAATACATGACTATGAATATGCAAAAATCAAATATGTGAACTGCGGATTGAGAAATGAATATGAGAACATGGGCAGCCATGAATGTCATGGATAAGAAATTTTCTTTCAGCAAAGTTCTTGGCAAGTGTGGTTCAAGCAAACTGATAACTACAGCTCTGGTAACTACAGCTCCATCAACTTCGTCTCGTGTCCGTGTCTCACGGAGGTTCTAAACGAGTTAAAATAATCTGAACGATGAGTTATCTTTCCTTGCGTACTCTTCACGAATGAGCGACGAAAATTATTACAATTACCAGCTGAAATTCGGCTAGATGGGCTGCTACCATTTTTACTTAGTACAGTGGCTCCGCTGCGCGCGTGCTGCGAGCTCCGCTAATATAACAACAACATACTTTATTGACTTTCCCCAAGGGGGCTTTTCAAAGACAATGTTATAAAAATAATCCTATTACAATTAAAAAATCCTATTTACAATTAAAGATGTTTTAAAATCTGAATGTTCTAAAAGAAAAATAAAAGCATACAAATATATAAAATTACAACTCTTTGAGTAGTTTGGTCCTTAAACGTTTTTTAAAAACCTTAACGGAGTTGCACAGTTTAAAGGAATTATCCAAAGAGTTCCATAAGTTTACAGTTCTATAGAAAAATGTTCTCTGACCGCTAGCTGTTCTAAAGAATGGAATTTGCAAAAGCTGCGAATTTCTGGTGCTACGTCGACTAACCTCGGCTCGCTTTATGAATTTTGATGAGAGGTAATCTGGAGCCTGACCAGTCATGCATCTGAAGGCCATAGTAGCGTTCCGGTAGTAAAGCTGGCTTTGAACTGAAAGCCAATTTAGTTCCTTGCGAATTGGTGTAACGTGGTCAAATTTACGCGCACCGCTAACAATGCGGCATGCGAAGTTCTGCACCGCCTGTAACTTGTCAACATTACATTTTGAGGTATTTGACCAAACATTGGAACAATAAAATAACCTGCTGAAAACTAAGGAATTAATAATCATCAAAAGTGTACGTTTGTCGAAAACATGCTTGACACGGTTTATTTGGCCGAGGCGGGACATGCACGAGGAAACGGTCTTAATTATGTGTTCATCGTAAGTTAAATTAGAATCCAAAATCACACCAAGGTCTTTGGCGGTGTCTGCGGGGACGATGTCCTCACCCATAATGGAAAGGGAGCGGAATTGCAATTTTGCACGCATCTGCCTGCTGCCAAATATCATCAGCTTGGTTTTGCCAGGGTTAAGTAACAATTGGTTGTTGGAACACCATTCTCCTATTTTAAACAAGTCGTCTTCCAAATCAGCAATTGCATCCAGGTTGTCTTTAAGTTCGAAGGAAGTGATAAGTTTCGTATCATCTACATAACTCTGAGTGCTGCATTTCTGTGGGATCGATGGAAGATCGTTCGTATATATGCTAAATAGTAGTGGGCCTAAGATACTTCCTTGAGGGACGCCGTTGGTCACGGACAAAGGCTCAGATAGCGTTGAATGGATTCGTACTACTTGTGTCCTGTTGCTTAGGTAACTACGAAACCATTGGAGAGCGTCTCTGGAAATTCCGACATCTTGCAATTTTAAAATTAACGTGTCGTGATTGACGCTATCGAAAGCTTTGCTCATATCTAATAGAACAACTGCCGTTAACTTCTTTTGTCAATCGCGTTAAGAATTGTGTCAGTTGTTTCAATCACAGACGTTTCACACGAATGCCATCTCTTGTTACCGCTTTGGCTCTTTGATAGGGTGTCATTCGATTGCAGATACGAGGTGAGCTGATTATGTACTACCCTTTCGCAAACCTTTGATAAGACTGGTGTAAGTGAGATGGGTCTATTATTGTTTGCCTGTTCCTGGTCGCCCTCTTTTGGGATTGGTGTAACCACAGCTGTCTTCCATTTTGATGGAAAAACACAGTTTTGAAAGGATGCATTAACGATAGACGTTATTGGGTGAACAATTGGATTAAGACAATCCTTGATGACACGAATCGGGATTTTGTCTATCCCTGGGGCCTTGTTTGAAGGCATCGCTGCTATTATACGTTCTATTTGTTTATAATCAATGGTACTCAGTGTGAACTGGTCAGAGAGAGCGTATTGTCTCGGTACAAAATAATTCTGATTAAGTGTTAGGTTGCATTCATTAGCCAGGGACGTAATTTTGTCAACAGTGCTCTGACCAGATACGAAAAACTGATTAAATTCGTCTGCAACAGTTTTGTCGCTCTTACTGTATGTTCGCTGAGATGTAGATTTGCAGGGGATGCACTGGCGAATTGCTTTCCAGATATTATTGGTGTTATTTGGATTCCTCTGGATTTGTTGGGCCACAAATTCCTGTTCAGCAATTCTGATTTCCCTTTTACTTCCTGTCTGAAATATCTGTAGGCAGTCCAAGATAGCGGATCATTTGTTTTCTTTGCTTTCTTACGCCAATCATCCCTGGTCTTCATCAATCCCCGGATGTTGTCTGTTACGCATGGATTTGGTTTACAGCGTGCTTTGAAGGTTTTAACTGGGGCATGGCGGTCGAGTATCTCAGTAAATAGCGAATCAAGTGCATAAAGTTTGTCCTCGACATCGTCGAAAACATCAACTATGGACCACGGTGCCAGTGATACGTCGTTGCTAAAATCAACAGGACTGTAGTGTTTAAAACTTCTGGTTGTAATATAGACGGGTTTGGCGCGCGCTTTCTTCAATTTTAAGGTGACATAAACCAAGTCATGGTCGCTAATCGAGCTTTCCATAACCGTAGCCGTTTGAACTTGTCTTGTGTCCGATGCAAGGATAACATCTAGAATTGATTTCGAAGTCTCCGTAACTCGTGTTGGCGTGTTGATCAGTATTGACAAGTTATAGGAACGGCAGAAATTAACAAGGACATTCGCTCCAGGATCGTTGCTATTCTCAAGTCTGCAGTTCAAATCTCCCAATAGATAAATTGGAACATTGAACGACGAGGCATAAATAAAGTTCTCTGTGAGATCTGAATCGAAACAAGATAACGATGCGTCCGGTGGTCTATAGGTTGTACAGACAATGAAAGACTTCATGTTCCTGACGTGGATTTTTAGCCACAGTTGGTGAAAGCCAGAGGCCGTGATAAGAGATATATCGCTCAAGTACTCCGTCCTGTAATTTCGTGAGACATAAGCACATACTCCACCGCCAATCTTCGCTTGTCGGTCGATACGGTAGATAACATAGCCAGGAATTTCTATTTCCAAATCCGTAACTGAACTGTTGAGCCATGTTTCGGATACGGTAAATATGTCAAACTTATTTTCCAGTACCGTTTCCTTTACAAGAACGAAATGCTCACGGCATTTAAGCGAGCGGACGTTAAGATGTGCAATCTTCACATTGCCATTTGACTTTTCAGACTTGTTTCTAATAGAGCTGTTTGCTGGTCCAGGGTTAAGTTCAACATCATGTAACAGTTGTATAATAGGTCTAAAGGTCGAGGTTGAATTGGTATAATAGGCTGTAGTAACGTTTGCTCGTTTCACTCTAATAGTGACATGCACGTGTGCCCGCCATTTTGTATTTTCTATTATGCAGAGTCTCGAATCCCAGTTTGCCACTTTAACCGACGTAGAGTGCGGGAAACGTAGACCAAAGTACTCATTTGTAAAAGAGTAGTCATGTTTACCTTTCCTCGATGTCATATTGCCAGGCAGACAAATAACCTCAAGAAATTATTCAATGTGAAACATTGTTATTTACATATTTGATTCGTGTTGTGAGCTCATTACTTTTTTCTACACAAAAGAACAAGAAGGTAACAATTTCAACTTAAGTTGATACCACGACTACTGAATTACAACTAAACGGAACCACCAAGATCGTAAAAGTGACTTTTCCCAGCCCAGCCTTAGCCATTAGTTTCTTTTTGTGGCTGGCTTAAGTTAAAAAATTTCCAATATACTTTTGTCGATACATAAATAGCAAAGTTTCCATTGGGTTTCTAACCTTGTCGTCTACCTCGACGTCTACCTCGACGATGCTGTAGATTTTTCTCACAAAGAAGAAACAGGCGAAAAATCCCACAGTACCTAGGAAAAGGAAGAAGCGATTTTAGATTTAAATGAAAGGCATAAACGCGTGCATGTATCATGGTTCATATGACTAACACAAACGTTTTCACTGGTTCATACTTTCGATCTATTAGAGGACAAACACGTAGATGACGTCACCATCGACGATATGGTGCTTTATATCATATATATAACAAATAAATTCTATGTTGCCTCGGGTCTGTTAAGCGATGGATCACAGATAAGGTCAAAATGCGTTTGGCAAATCATTAACACACTTGGCTGCGCCCTGTGTGCCACGTTTTGTTCATACCACATCTTGACGTCCTTTGTGATCTAATACTGAACGGACGCACTGCTACATGGAATCTATTTGTTTAGAATTTATGGATGCATGCGGGAAGTTTGGAGATCTCGAAAGAAGCGTAAGAGCTGTTGATCCATTTGTTTGGAATCTATGGATGCACGTGGAAAGCGCAAGAGTTGCACGAGGCGCAGTGGAGAGCAACTCTAGTTTCTTCAGTTTCGGCCACGCGGGAGCCTGGAACAAGTTACCAATCTCAACGGCACAGAATACCAATCACAATGGCAAGGATCCATGACGTACTTACCAGTGAAAAGGAAGAAGATCAACACCATGATCAGTGTGTAGCCGAAGTACAGGAAGGTGGAGGCTGTTCCTGTGATGTTCAGTTTGGTGACAAAGAAATGAATCGAGTACAGAAAGAAATACACTGCAGTACATCCGCCAGTCAGGAAGGAACGCCACCACCAATGATAATCCTGCAATTGAGTAAAGCGTTGAAAATAAGCGAAACATTGTTGTTCGGGACACGCTTCAATACCTTTACACTAAAAATACACAAATATTGGGAAAGGATCTAGTTACGGCCGTGGGTCCCTTTACAGAATCTGATTTTCGCGTAACGAGATCGTATTTAATAACTACATCGACAAGTTTTGAGTCCCGAGCATTACAGACGATGGATGAAGTTTCGTTTTGAACATAAGATACGAAGCACACCGCATGCGCGTACCGGCGAGATGTAAATGTTTGGGATTGGCACCCGCGAGACAGAGCAATTTACAAACGCATACTGGCGAGAGGTGAAGTTTCGTGGACTTTCGTTCCACTTGCACCAAGGAAAACCAGTTCTTTTACTATACATGGGAACCGGTTCTAGCTTCAAAGGATACATAACACGAATGTAACCCTAATACATAGAGAAGCTATATCTCGAAGTGAAAGCCACAGCTTCGCCTTCAACCGTAGCAGGAATTTTCTCAGCTTCAAAATTGCCACGAACGAAAAAGCGTGTTTAAAGTCAAAATATAACAAATAGAAATAAAAGGGTATCTAGAATGTACGAGAACATATTGTTAAGGTTTATAATGTAGCGTACGATAAAGTCAAATTGTGGTGTGGTCTGTTCACAGACCTCTATTTCCCTTCGATCATCGTCTAACGCTTGGGCGCAAGAGAAGCCGCTAAGGAGTTACCTACGTGAACCCTTAAGGGTGGGATAATTTCGCGCTCGTTCACGCGCGATCGCTTCGCGCTCCCTCCCTTAACTATGAAGAAAACAGCCATAGAAAGACTAGTTTTGGTTGGAATTTAACCTCATGAATTTCCTCACCTCAGCACGAAGATGGAAATAACACAACAGTATGGTGGTCTCTGACACGGTCAACAGTAGAATTAAACAAACCACAAACAAGAAACCAAACATGTAGTAAATCTGATGCGACCTGGTTGATGCAGAAAAAAGCAAAAATCACTCATACGGTTCAAACATAAAATGAAGCATCGAGCTGCTGTTTTATTGGGTAACCCGAAAATCCAAATACAATAGATCAGTGAAGTTTTTCAAGAAGTTTATACAATAAAAGTGGAATTTAAGGAGGCTGTCTTTATTATTACGTGTTCAAATGAAATGATTAAGACCTTTCCTTACAATAGGGAAGAAAATAACTTTTTGCAAGACAAAATATACGTATAGCAGAATTTAGAGAAAGAGATCTGGATTCAAGTCCGATTTGCATCATACAAAATCGCCTGATACCCCTATAAATATATTAATTGCTTGTCAGCAAGGTAGTCTGGTTTACGAGTTTAAAAAACGTTAAAGCCCAGTAACAAGTTACACGCAAACAAAAAAAAAGGAGAAAAATCGAACGATTTAAAATGGATTTAAGTAAAATCTCCATCATTCATACATAAAAGAGACTTACCAAATACTGTTTAAGATAAAAAACAACTGGATATAAATACACCCAAACGGAAGAACACCTCCCATTATGATTCCTAGCGCTGCTCTAGTGTAAATTCTCTGCAAGATAACAATATTTATTTTGAGACAACATCTTGATGATTTTGATACAAATCTATTCCACGTAGAGCACTAAAGAGCTTTCCGATTGAGTGACGTAACGGCAAAACCACCGTAATCGCAACGGCCAATCAGAAGGAATGAAGTAATAAGAGCCAATAAAAACTCAAGTCTAAAGCGCGGGAAAACGCGGGTTATCAAGCAGAAGTAAGAAGAGCCAATAAAAACTCAAGCCTAAAGCGCGGGAAAGCACGGGTTACCAAGTTGTGATTCCTTTTAGTTCTGGATTTGATTGGTTGATAGAGTGGCGCGAGTTTTTTGAACCAGTCTCGGGGCGAGGTACAGCAAAATCCCGAATTACTTTCGGCACTCAGTTGAAAGCTTCGCTAAAATAGACATTCACTCGTTATCCTAATTCAAGTTCTAAATGAATCATTGTCTAATATAAAATGGTTAAGGCAAAGGTAGTGTGTGAATCAGAACTGAGGTATGGAACCACCTGGATTGTAAACCTCTAACTTGAGGTACACTGTATTCTTCAGAGTCCATAATTGTACTTACCTGGTATGGAATCTGACGAGGAATTTGATTGGTTCGAACTGGTTGCTCAATTGGCTGGAGATAAAAAATAAACATTCTTCAGAGTCCATAATTGTACTGACCTAGTCTAGAATCAGACAGGGGATCTAATTGGTTCGAACAGATTGTTCAATTGGCTAGTGGCAAAAATTGAACACCTGATCAGCCCCGTTCTACATTACAATGTGAAACTTTGACGCTTACGGACAACACCAGTGACATATTGGTAAACTCAAGTATATGTGGAAAGGTGTGAAAGGCCAAAAGGACTGACCTTTCAATATTAAAAAATATTTCAATCTAAGGATTTATTGGAAATACTGCAGGAAGCTTTTGCAAAACTAATAGATTTTAGAATATTCTTATTTTCCATAAGTTGTCTCTTAAAAGTAGCAAAGTTAGAACAGTTCTTGATGTCATCAGGTCTGGGATCGAGCCAAGGCAGGGTCTTTTAAATGCCTTTACGGGCAAGAAACTTTACTCTCCCAGTGTTTTTCTCCACTTAAGTGCATAAATGGGTACTAATACTCTATTGAAGGAACCTGAAACAATACTCCTAATTGCTTTACCATTCAACTCCTAAGGGTGACAAGCATCTAATTTCTCCTTACAATATCAGCCTTGAACATAACATGAAGGTCATGAGAATAAAGCAAATGATCACCAGGTAAAGAAGCTTTTGATTGTTGAACAAAATTCTCCTTGTCAGCACCTTAAGAAATGTATAGAGGACAGTTGGGAGAATATGAATAACAATGTGAGGGTGTCTTGGGTTTATGCTATGGAAACCAGGATATGTGTTGGTCATATAGGTTTTCTCGTTAATAGGCTGATTTTAGATTGACATGTACCTTAATTATCAGCGGTTTATACATGTACAGTAATTACCTTTTTCTTGAATCCGAGGTAAGCCCCCAGGAATGTAAGTGGAGCTGAAATGCCAAACCTATCAAGCAAGAAAGGAAAAAGGAAAATTAACATTCCACGCATGTTTCATAAAATGTGCTGAGTCACGGGCTGCTAATGATTCAGGTTTAGACTTACAACATGGCCAACAGGGTGAATAAAGTGGTAAATGGAACAGCTGCTGATGAACCCTCTGACCACAGAACACAATTCAAAAGGAAGAAAATTCCAAATATCAATCTGGAATTAAAGAAAAAAGTTATTACATTTGACAAGGGTGATGGTTATAGCAACAATATTGAAAATGACAATTACACTAACAGTCATGAAGACCACAAAGATAATGATACAGATGATGACAAAGATCATAGAAATTATAATGATGATGATGACGATAATAATGATGACAATGATAATAATCCATTCTTGTTAGATGCATATCTACTGTGACACAAAATTTCACACAATATGGCATTAGACTTACTTTAAGTAGCTAAGAAAAACTGAGTATTTTTGGCGGTATACATTGTAAGCTAAGGATTTTAAATCCTCCTTAAAAGATCTTTGCATGAATACCCCTTACAAGAGGTATTCAGCTGCTTCACCTAACTTCATTATTTCCAGCTGTATACTACAGTGTACATGTTTGCATCACTGAATACTCACCCAGGAAAAAGGAAGGCCGATAACAAGGTATTGGTCTTCCACAAGTCTCCGCCAACCACTAAACAGGAAAAAAAATGGGTACAAAGCACCATCAGAATTATGCTCAATGGAAAATGCCACCCAGAAGACCAGGGACACTGATGGATGATTGGGTACGCATAGAAAGGCTACATAACAGTTTCACTGTATACTGACCAAAGAAATTTCTTTATATAATTATAGCTAAAAAAAAAATTGAGAACTAGCAAACACCTTTCACAAAAGAACAGAATCTACTTTATTTAGGCAATTACCTTACAAAGATCTAACACAACAATAAGGAAATGGTTGCTGATTAGGAAAAGATTTTTAAAAGACGTTTTTCTATTATACTAGGGCCATAAGATAGAAGATTTCTGCTTTTTTTCCCAAGAATGTCAGGCAGCAACTCACCAATGAACAAGTCACCAAAGCTCCACGGTTCGCAGGTGAAAGGAATCCAAAACAAGCAAACACTGAAGAGGAGCAAAAGAAGATTTAATCAATGAGACAACACCTTAGTTAAAATTAAATATAGAGTTAATACATACATGTAGTTGAGGAAAACAAATTAAACTGATTCCTGACATGAGAAAAAACACAATGAAACAAACTCAAAAAAGGGCAGGGAAAAGTCGTTGGTGAAAGGTCAAGATTAGAATGTTAACTCAGGGTGGGTACTGGCAACCTGCCAGGGTAACCTGCTATGAACTGGAATCTCGTCCAGAGGGAGAAAAAATACAGGGATGTACTCCCAGTCTCCTCATGCAAGATAAACCAGATTTAGCCCCAGTTATGCAAATGGAATGCATACAATTCTTTTGAGGCCATACAAAAATACATAGTCAATCTCACATTATCCTTTCACACTCACCTAATGTGAAAAACACTGTAATAAATGTCTGAGTTCCACAACCCAACATGACAGACAATAACATTCCATTCTTTGGAGGGCGGAAGACATCTCCATGAACCAACTTCCAGCGAAACGTTTTCTGACAGCATACCACTGACTCCATCTGATTGTAGGGAGCAATGTCCTTGCGCAGAGTTCGCCCGCATAATCAAGGCCACCATTCCCGACAAAAAGAGCACAATGACAGATGAATTCATGATGCTGAGGACAAAACATCACAACACCTATAAGATCACATATTAGAATGGATCAATACCATCAAGAGGGTTGTAGAATAAACATTACATCTTTGCATTCCTACCAGTGGAACTTACACAAGCCTCTGAGTTGAATCAAAGACTCTCTATGACATAATCTGCTGACAACTGTACATACATGCAGATTAGGCCTTTCACTCTGAAGAGAGACTATGAAGATGAATCATCTTGTACTGTCGATACATTATGAAGTAGAGATGATGGAAGGAAAGAAGCTTATCTACAAGGGGATATTGTTGATTTTTATTTTGACATTTGCATTTTACTTTATAATACAGCCACACATCACACCATCGGCAACAGATTATAGAAAAAGATATTGAAACCCTGCTTTTATCAACTCATAGCTAACAACTGCATCTACAGTGTAACTGACTATTATTCACTTTTGTGCACCATTGCAGATAAACAACTCTGCTCATCTACTTGCCACAGTACCCCAGTATGTTAGTACATGTGGAGTATATCTTACCTAAACCACTGGATTTTGGTGTGTGGCATTGAATCAAGAATGTAGTCCCAACGGGATGCCCATTTCTGATTGGGATCAGTCTCTGGCTGCAAAATAAAATAAAATTTCCACTTCAGTACAAAAAAAATACCATTGCAAGTACAATGACCCTGAGCCCTCCTTCAGGAGAGTGAAATGCTTGATTTCATAAAGGCGATGTAGAAAGAGAAGTACCACAATAACCTCGGAGAGGGGAGGGTGAAGAAAGGACTTTGCATATCTCAAGTGGACATGAACCCAGTTTAGAAAAGGCTTCTGATCAACAAAAAAAAGTTTTGAACTCTTGTGTAGTAAATATATTTGTTACAGAAGTATGCTTCAATGCATTTTTCCTGTCACCATTGGAAAGGTTCATTTGTATCCTTTCAGGACCTTACAAAAAATTAGAAGCATGACTTTCCAAAAGGTATACTTGGACGTTTTTAGCATTTTTCATGGTTCGCATAATAGTTTAATACCTGTAAAATTGTTTGAAAAGTTGGTTTTACTTAGAGAACGACATTTCATGCTTTCCTGTGCATTCTTTCTGCAATAATGTTCTATTGACTCAATTGCTATCTCTGGCCCCCATTCTTAATCTTTGACTTTCCAGAATTGACATAAAGGAATTCTAAAAGTTCAGTTTCCCAAGATTTTAGTTATACTAAGATTTCAACACCAAGATCTCATTAGTAATTCTCCCTAATGTCTTCCATGTAATTATTATATGTTAGATCTAAATATTTGGCATTAGATGGAATAATAATCCTGTGACTGATATTTCTCTTAAAGTTTACTCTCACCACTCGTCTGCATCATACTGTATTGATTTAATATTGTAGGGAGAAATTTGTCTTGGTCACTACCAAGGAGTGATTTCATCTTCTTATTTCAATGCAATCATTATCCAGCATAACATGATGAGAACAAACAAAAATGTTTACTAAAGGATAATTATCATATGATTCACCTCCAAATTCTCAGAGCCAAAACTATAAGAAATGTATGGTAGAGAGCAGGGAGAATCACTACTGAGATTTTGGGAAAGACTATGTTTAAGATATTATAAGCTCAAACTCACCAGGAATTGAACAGAGTATGTGTAAGCAATGTAAACATCACTTTTCATCTCAGCTGGAAAACCCATAGCTGGTAAATCATCATCACATTTCAGATCCTTGCCTTTCTCGTGCTTGATACTGTAGAATGAACAAGATTGCTGTGTAATGATATATGATTTTTTGTCTTGTCATGCATCTAACTCCATGAGAGGAATCAAACCTCAAAGAGTAAAAACGGCAAGTACAGTATACAGGTGTATGACGATGGGTTTACTAAAGGAACTCAGAACTTATCTTTGTCCCAAACTCATATCAAGACAAAAACAAATCCATCAATACTACACTTACAAGCTTAAAATATACAACATATATTACTACAAGATTGCTTCAAGTTGATGACATATATAAAACATTCAGGCACTATGGCGCAAAAAAAAAAAAAAAAAAAAAGAACAAATATAGTATGCATTCTCATCAAGTTACTCCTCCAGTAAGAGCTTATCCCAATTTCTGTGGCATCTAGTGCCAATCAATTGCAGGTTATTCTTGTCCAGCATTTTGACAGGTTTCCCAGAACATAGTGGGGGTAGCACTAAGGGAGTTCAGTGTCTCACACACCAACAGTACACAATGAACAGGGCAGATCACAGATCCCAGACCCAGACCCAGACCCAGACCCAGACCCAGACCCAGACCCAGACCCAGACCTCTTAACTCAAGAGTCCAGCTCAGCACATGGACCAAAAGACGACTGTGACTCTCCCTGACAGTGCTGTTTGTGCAGTTCATACCTTTTTGGTTTGACCTCTGCAGATGTCAGACGAGCTCCTTCCCAGTCTTCCCCTGACCCATCATAGTACTTGATCTTGATATCAACATGATTAAAGACATAGTACATCCCACGCTCATTGAACTTAGTCTGAAACAAAAAACATAAAACAAGCAACAAAATAATTCTCACAATTAAATTACAAATGATAAAATTACAGGTAAAACAAAAAACATCCAGGCTTTCAACTTGAGCCTGGTAAAGACTACATGGGCTCGAATGCCAACTGAGCTGCAATGCCACACGTGGGAAGTAGAGCAAACTTTGGAGGATTTGTCAAGGATAAACCTGAAATTCTTTAGTTCTGGTTCCCTTCAGTTTGCTCACTGATTGGTCAAAAAGACTCTGTGCCATCCTTTCAACCAATCAGATGCAAAACTAAAACCAATCATGACTTAGTCATTGTCCCCTTCACCCCAACAAGTTTGCCTGTGTCTTAATGTGACTTTTCATGAACTTAAATTTTCGATCATTTTCCCCTTTGTTCAGTTTGGCTGTAATGATGACTTCAATTTCAGTTTTCATCCCTCAATTGAAAACTTCTGGCCTTGGTTGGGCCTTGGTTATTCAATGGAGGGATAATGCTATTCAATGCAGTCGCTATAAATTGCTATCCAACATGTAAATCTCTATCCAGTGACTGTAAGTCTTAACAAAATGTACTGTGCTACCCACCAGAGAGAGATTTCTCTATAGTGGATAGCATTACCCACCTTCAAACAACCAGTCCCAGTAGTTTACTAATTGAGAAATCTGTGAATACTTACACTTGTCACACAGGCATCACGTGCTTGTCCATCCTCTGTCACATGACAGCCGATAGGAAATCCTGTGGAACAGTACTTTCTGTATTCACCTGTGAACTCATAACACCAAGTCACAGGCATGTTGTCAATAATCCTACAAAGATTAGAAAGATGTATAGCAGAGAAAACAGTAAGTTTAAGATGACACAAAGAACATCTCTATAGAATATAAGTACCTGATTTGCTGGCCTTTATAGCACAACAACGTAAACAACATCATGATCAATATCATTGACTGGCCTGACTCTTACATTGTGAGACAAACAATTAAAAATTCATTTATCTAATACTGAAAATCTTACAAGACACTGTCATTCAATAAATAGGAAGTTGAGACTACAGCCACACTAACCAATGATTTTGATAGTTAAGAGCAATTCCACTTCTTAAAAATTCCAGCTTCTTCCCATCCTCTGCATTGCCAGATTTGTATTCTTTGGCACAAAGTTGTTTACATGTTACATCCTTCTTGAATGTAATCTGTCAAACAGAGGAACAAATAAAAAAAAATAAACAAAGATTGCTAAACTATGGAAATGAAAATTGAATGTAAAATACACCAATTACAACACAGAAAAGTTGACTACAACACACCAGAAGAAAGCTAGCAAATATACCCAGATATTAACTGGTGTATTGCCCAGATAAACATGAAGTCATCTAAACAAGACCGTAAATAAAAGCTGTCGCTTACATTGTAAAGAGAGGGTCTTATCCTCTCTCCAACAACAACCTGTAAAAAAAAAAGGAAACACTGCTGTAAGTTCAAGAATGAAGCATGAAGCTGTGTAAAATGAGATATACAGTACAAAAATTACCAGTTGAGTGAGGTATGGAAAAAGCTTGGTGACAGGGAATTGACTGTAAAATTAAGTTGTCAAGGGCAACCTTCCTTGTTTCCAATGGTGACCGCCTCTTAAAGAGCCATATGTCACCAATTGTCATACACAAAAGCCCACCAAAGGAGGTCAAACAAAGCGTTGTCACTGGAAATGGAAACAGTTGCCATTACAATGCAATTTTAAAATCAACTGTGGTCACCTAACTTCTGTCGCTCCTCACTCAACTGAAAACTATGTCTTGAACTTAAAATATTTCAAGAAGTATTTTTGTCTTGTTAGGAGCATTGGACTCAGGGAAGAGCACATGTAGAGTCTATTTGGGGTTCAATTCCTCATGGGGACTCAAAATTTCACTTCATTTCATTTTCAAGTTAAAAAATTAATTATCTTTCTACTTTTGAATATTAGTGTGGGAGAAAGAAAAACAATGCCAAAACGTTTTGTTGAGCATTTTGCCTATAGCAGGATATCTTGTCATTGACCAATATACTATGTCAGTAGTATTATACATTACACATGTGCCTTTTCCTTCTGACAATCTTTATTTCAGCTCATATGACCTTTTAAATCACCATATGGCAAATAAATATGGGCAAATTAGAGAGCTAAGAACACCATCTACGTAAAACATATTCAATGTGTATGCCTATTTACAAACCTGTCCAAGGTTTTCTGTTGGTGATGTCTTGTCTGTGGGTGGTACACAGAAATCAAACCTGTACAAATAAGTTGAACATGTGAGTTGATAGAAATAATGCAGACTTTTGCCCATTAACATGGACTTGTACTTGCTAATAACAAATATCTAACCTTACTTTGTTGTTGCAAGTCAAAACAATTTTCAAATATCCACTTTGTTTTCCTCTTGTCAGGTTCACTACCATTTTTCTCAACTCTTAAACTCCCATAAGTGACCAAGATAGAATTTCTCCTTACAATATCAATACAATATCAAGCAGACAAGTGATGAGAATAATTGTGATGATAACAAGTGCTGGGAAGAATTAGAATCAACTAAGGAATTATACATTGTTCCAATACCAAATTCTCCAGACTAAAATCATAAGAAGTGTATAACAGATAGTAGGGAGAATTGCTGATGAGATCTGGAAGGGAAAGGATTCAAGATCAACAGCATTAAAGGAGAAAACAGAATTGAAAAGTTTTGACTGTGTTGTCTGTTTGTCTCAGTAAGGGTAGTCCTACAAATAACAACTACTACTGACTCTGATCATGACTTGTTCACAGGTTGTCAAAATATCACTCATCCTAATTGACAACAGTTCTATTCAGGACTACTCTTAACTGGATAATACGACTACACAGTCAATTATAACCCCCAGGTTCAAACCATTTACTGAGTGTATTAAAATAATAATAATATTGATAGTAAAAGTTACAAACCTTGCATACTCGTAGGGAATCACTGATTCAACAGAATTCAGACTATTCACAAACAAATCAATTTTGGACTAGAAAAAAAAAAAAAAAAAACACAGGTATTTAGAGCAAATTTACCAAAACTGAGCATTAAGGTCGAGATTGATTTTCATTCCTCTTTGTTTCCAACAATGGTAACACATATGTTAGACACCAAGATAAGAAATCCCATGATTCTAGAAAAATTCACACCCAGGGTATAAGTCAAATATATCTTTCCATTCATATTATAATGGTAATACCAATCTACCAGTATTCATAAATTGCAGGAATCACTAGATTAAAGATTTGAAGAGACTTTATGTAAAATTGAAATACAAGAAAAAAAACCATTAGATTTGTTTGTTTACCCTTAGAGAAAACTTTCATGTAACTTTTCAATTAACAGCTTTAATCTAAATTTGTTGAAACATCTCATTCTTAGCATATCTTGCTGGTAGTCAGGGAAATACGACTTTATTCTTGCATGAAATGTAAAATTGATGAAACAGATGTTCACGCTTTGCACTTTAATAATATACATGGAAAAATTACTCAGTTCTGATTGGTTAGGATAAATGCAGTTTTCAGGTAATTCAGTGCGGAAGAGAGTTAATTCAGTGCAGAAGAGGGTTAATTCAGTGCAAAGAAAGTAACAAATCAGACATTCTGATTGGTCAATAATCAAAGGAACTCACAGACAGCCAATCAAATGTGAGCCTTAGATGTCGCAACAAAATTTGAAAATTTGAAAATTTGCAAGCGAAACAATGGCCGGTGTTTTAAGTAGGTTTTCTTTTGCCACTGCAGCTGAAAAACAGCTCAAACAATGAAAACACTGAAAAAGCACTGCTTTTTGGTTGTTGGTTTGGAAAAAGTGGTGTTTAGAGAAGGGAATTGCCAAGGAAATCAAAATTACAAGTCAACCCAGCTTAACACTTTGCTCAAGTGATCCAACGCCAAAATTAGAAACAAACATGGTTAACCCTCCAAAAACAATGATTCCATTTCATCGAAAGTGATTCTGACACAGACTGAACAATTCCTTGAATGGTTTAGCTGGACTTTGAACATGTTGCACCTTAAAGATGTGAAGATATCATTGCAAATTATTGTTTTAATCGTACGTGGCAATTTTGTTGGTCTTTAAAAAAATTTACTTGTGCTTATTTATTCCAAATTGCACTCGAAATAATGTGATTACATATAAAAACTGAATGGGATCGAAAAAACAAAAAATAATCTTGCTCGTAGGGAAGTTGATGTCAAAATGTCTCAAAATAGACATTTCTTTCGTTAACTTGAAATGGCTGGATTATAATGTAATCGGTAATGACCACAAGTTTTCACACGCGTGCTACTGCGAAGCATTTAAAAGGAAACAACCTAACAATACTTCAGAACTTGTTGATGGTAAAATTCCATAGCTAGAAGTTTCAACGAATCGAATTGTTGATGTACAGGTGAATAAAGACATTACAAATATACAAGAAAAATATATTAAGCTTGGGTCCGATATATAACTAAAACCAAGTGTAATTGCAATAAATTAAACAACCATTACCTAATAACATTAAGTTTGTTTCACTATCTAGGAATATGCGCAAAGCCTCAACATTTCAGTAGCGTTGTTGAAAGAAGTGGTTGTGTCCTCGTGTACCGGTACACAAAGGAAGGAAACATTAACGAACTGCGTCATAACTCCATGTATGGTTATGAAAACAAAAGAAATTCTCTCGTGTACCGGTACACCAGGACAGCCCCCAAGAAGTCGAAGCGATATTGATCATCATTGACCACAACCAGCAACAAACAAAATTCTCACTACCTTGGCTCAAAATTCGTTGATTTAATCTATATCAGATTCTCCAAAGTATTCTGAGCGTTACATAAGACAGCAGAATTGCTAAATATAGAAAGTTAACTCCACCGAACCTTACCAAACAAGCAGGATTTGTTGATTTTTCCGTCACGCAATACGAAATCGGCGCCAGACCGGGTAGATAAAATGCCGCAGCACAAGAAATCCATGTACATAAAACCAACCAAATCAACCCAAGCGAACTGTACTGCTCCATGTGCTTCGAAAAGACTATTCTGTTCCTCCAAATACACAATATCCCGTTAAAAAAGCGTCAGTCCACGGATACACTCTTCCAAATTGCTACAATGTGTGCAAAATTTAAAAAGCAGCCTTTTTGCGCAGTAAAGAAAATGAAATATCTGCGCATGTGAATGGTCATGTCATAAAATCCTAAGATGGCGCCTCAAACAATGCTAGTTCCAAGCCTCGTCGGCGCTTCCCAGCCCTCTTTCCTCAGACTCTCGCCAACTTGTCCAGGCTATTGAAGATGTACTCGAAAAGTAATTTGTTCCCGTTTAATCATATCATATGAAGTTGCCACGACTCATTTAATTTTACTTTGTTTTCAATACTTCACCTGCTCAATCGGGAAAAAAGCAGCATTTTTTTTTCAAAACTATGAAACACAGTGGACAAAACAAAGATGACAATTTCCCATGATGTCAGCCATCTTGGCGTCTGCACTCCGATAGATAAGTGGAAACAACCAATCACAAAACACGTAGTCACTCGGTCAATTACTTGTGTTATTCAACAGTTTATTACAGGAGTCAAATTTCTTGATTAGTATTCCTGTCTGTTTTCAAACCATTTACAATGGGATTAAGAGTCTGAAAGTTAGCCAAATTGAAGGCTTCTTCTTTCTCATCAATATTACTTTACATAACGAATGAGATTAGCTTTGTAAATATCAAACAATTCCGATAAATCATTTTACCCGGAAATCCTTCAGGCGCAATGCAGCCCCGAGGAGAAAAAAAAAGTAGGCACGCATCTGCGTACAAATTTTCTTATCTTTCATGTTTGCAACGATGAAACTATTATTGAGTTATAGAGATGAAGATGCACTCATTCTAGAGGGTCGAGGACTGCATTACGCCTGGATTCAATCACCTAGCGCAATATTTAACACTAATACTGAAGCACTAATTATCTTCAGTCCAAAATGGTCTTCAAGTAAAGACAGTTAATTACTTTAAGACTTGAGACAAACGGCGACTGGAAGATGGATAAAACTACTTCTGACGCGCTTGGTCATCAACCATTTAACTTAAAAGCCTTCGATAAACGTTTTAATCCAAACAGCACAGACTTAAGATCTGGGCCACATAGAATAACTCTAAACTTCTGGCTACCGTCCGCATCTCAATAAAGTCTCTCTTTAGTTAAGCTTCCCATGCATTGTCGAATTGATAATCCCTACCTTCGTCTTCAACGGAGAATTGTTCATTAAATATTGAAAATTAAATCGTTTAATACTTCGTTTGACATGGTAACATTTCGTTTATTTAGGCGTGTTCCATCGTCCGCCTTACTATTTACTTTCGGATTTATTGTTTGTTTGTTTGTTTGCCTTTTTATTTTTGTTTTCTTTTAACTCTTTAGGACACTGATGTTGTTTTTAAGGTTTTCTGGTATAGTTTCTGAACTATGAGTATACTTACGTCCATTATATCAGACTTCAACCTACGAGTACTGAGAATTTGGGGGCAAAACAATGGAAATAAAAATCGCGAGAACTAATAACTCGGAAATGGCGGCTTAAAAATACAGACAGATATACTGATATACTAGTATGAATGTGTATATATACATATACATACATATATGTAGATATATAGGAAGTCTGTGTATTGATTTTACCGTTTTACAGTGCTCGATACATAGAAGTAGAGCGCGATATATTTTGCGATAGGGGAAAAAAAAAACAGACAGACTACACTTTCATCACTACAAGCCTGTTTCGTGATTGCACACTCATCAGGGGATTTGATCGAATAAAATTAATGTGAAATAAGAAATTAAATGATCTGTGAAGAGGTTAAAATAAATTGTTTCTTTAAGTAGAGTTTGAATTCTGTCAATGTCCATCTCCACTAGGCTGAAAGGCCCAAGGAATTCCAAATTTTGACATTCCTAAAATAAATTGTTCTTTGCCCTGTACAGGGGGATCTGAGGAATCTGGGCATTCCTTGTCGATCGATTAGTGACAACTGACTTTAGTGAGAATTTACATAAGAGCTTTAACTTTATGCATCACTAATTTTTCTTAGAATGGCAGAGAGAACTAAAGTGGATCTGAGTGCGTGATTCGCAATCCGGATGTCTGTGGCCTTACTCCAGCCAGCCTCCTCCTGGGAGCGAGGTTGGAGTCTGACGTCATTCTTTGTACATAGGCCAACTGGTCTCCCACCGACTGGAGTTATGAAGAAGCTACGTCATGTAATTTGTGGTCTCTTCAGCTCCACAAGGAATCTTCTCTTTTAGAATAGGTGTTTGTTTGCTGTGGAAGATAAACACTAAAAAAAGTTCCAATATGCCGAAATAAAAACAAGGGTAGACGAGAACAGCAGCGATTGGCGCAGGGTGCAATTAAAAATGGTAAAAATTGAGGCTAAGATTTTCAAAACGGACTAACCCTCTGAGTGAAAGGCGTAGAGCTCCTTGTAATTTGTGTAATTAGCATAAAATGTAGAACCTTCTGTATTGCCTAAGTTAGTAATTGCCCGTGTTACTGTTGACAAAGTTGAGACCTTTAGTCGAATAGACAACCATCAAGTCTAATCGACTTAATATTATTCTTTATGTCAGAAACTGCACAACTGAATTCTGGAAGTCTGTGTGATCGCAAGTAAGTAAAGGCTTTATTCAAAGAGGGTTATACTTAACTCATGTCCTTATTACACTATAAAAGCGATCTAAAAGTCGGTTTTGTATTTAATTCACATGCTATATACATGTATTAACTGATGACATAACCTTGAAATAATATTTCAAATAGGGAGAAAGCTTCCTGGTCATTTATAAATTTCTCGTACAAAATGCGCTTGAAACTAGCAACTGATACTTTCCTATGCTTGACTCTATAGTACCTCAATGTATATTTTTCCTAACTTTAAAAGTTTATCCTCCCTCAGGTTTCCTTATACACTTTCGACAGATCAAGTTTAATTTAACGATGGCCGAGGCTTTCATCCCATGGATTGTGAATTGGCATCAGAAACGAACCTAACCAATGTGAAAAACACTACAATCCTACAAACTCAACTACTTTATTACACAACGAGTGATATTCTGAATAGGAAGCGACTCTTAAAGGCAGTACAGTTCTTACGCTCCATAAACTTACTTAAGCCCACTACAGTCTATATCTTAACTCGCCACTGAGTAGAACTCAGTTTCCTCCAACGTTTCTTGAAATTAACAATCTTCCACTGTAGTTCTCACTCACGGTATAGCTTTCTAAACAGTCTGTTACTCCTGACAACAACTACGACTTCTACTACATAACCGGGTCCTTACATACATTCAGCAAGTGGTATTGAACAATCCAGAAGCTTACAAAATAACTATTTTAATAGTATTACGTAATAATTGCGTGACTTGATGAAATATTTTAGGAAGCTCTATGGTACGCATATCACAATGACTAAGTAGTCTGGACTTTTCTATAAGCTTCTATTTACAACAACAATTACTCATAACAAATACTATTGTCTGAACCGATTGACGATGCCTCGCATTATGTCCATGAGAGTGCGACGAATGGGTCCCATCTTCCAGCAGTATATAACAGGGTTCAAAGACGAGTTGAGGAAAACCAAAGTTGTTATAAAGGGCCGAGCTTTGTATAAAGAGATTGTACTTAAAGGACGAGCCCAGAGTAAAAAAGAGAGAATATAGAAAGGCAGATAACAAATCAAGAACACAATACATACATAAAATGTTCCAAGAGCTGACTTTCTAAGCTTCAAAAAGTTTGATAAGTCGCCATTTTGAACTCCCTGTTGTACTTCTTGGATTTGAAGGCCTTCAATCTGATTTTTGTGTCGCTTTAAGACTATATAAATTCTCCAATAGACAATTACCACCAGAATTAGGCAGAGAGTCGTAATCACGAGCCCAATGACTTGTGAGCTGAAAAGCAATGGATTCCAAAAGACAATATAAGAAATGATTGCGCTTAACAGCCATATTGATATCACCGCTGCGATGACGCACCTGTGAGTCACAAGCTCTTGATATCTGAGATGAAGATGAACAGCTAAGAACCTGTCTACACTTATGATTACAACAGTAAAGAAGGAGGATCTGCAAAAGAAATTAATAACGGCGGACAATCCCTTGTGGTAAATGCAGTCGATACGTTTTTGTTTTGACAGGCTGACCAAAGTAGAAATGTAGAACGGTTGGACCAACAAACCAACGCCAACATCGGAGGCAGCCAGGCTCAGTAATAATGTTCTCAAAGGTTTCGGCAACAACGCGGTTTTCCTTATCGCATGGATGGTAACAATGTTCAAAATGATGGTTGTATAAGACAAAAAGCTGTTGAAGACACAAAAAGCGATAAGTGCCGGACGAAAACCTCTAACATTCGCAGAGGTTCCAGAGAGAGACTCGTTGAGAATGTCGCAAACGTTTTCAGCCATGAGAACTGAGCGTTAAAACTACTGTGGTTGTGATATTTTCCGATTCTAAAACGGAAAATTTTATGTCATATGAAGCTGTCAATAACCAGGATAGAACACAATCAAAGCCATCTGTACGTACAGTCAAAATGTCTTCAACTCTGGCATCTGAATTTTTGAAAAAAGCATCGAGTGTCGCTTTAACTCGGCGTTGCTTAGAATTAAAACAAATTATCTGTTTAATGCTTCAAGACATTTTTACTAAACATGGAATTTATACCTGAACAAAGTTATTTGAAGGAAAGCTGTCATTAACATATTTTTCATTTATCAAAATGAATAAACGAAACATTATAGTCAGTTAAATTAAAGAGCGCTTGACAAGTGTCTCTTTATTAAATTCGCCTGAATACACCTAATGCAGACCGAATATTTTATGGTTGATGAAAGGTGGGGAGAGAGACCCAAATAATTATTACGAATAAATTACGTACTCGTTTGTGGCGGATCTCGGAGGTATTCAAAATGTTCGGCAAACTTACTAAACTGAGATGATACCGGCATATTTTTCAGTCGTTTTGGAGTAGCTTGGGAATATTTCCCGGTGGTAGATTATTACAGATAGCCCTCCCCCCTTTACAGACGCAAACCGCGTTCGGCTCTCACTTTGACTACCTCCTCACAAGTCCCGGATCCATTTCAGTCCATGAACAGCTGCACATAGCTCCGAAAAAGTCTAGCAATGGCCATGTAATATTTTTACATATTTCAACCGAAAGAAATACAGATAACACATTTATCAAATAATCATTCTGCATCAAGCGCTAAACAAAAAGAATACAGGAGTTTGACTATTGTTTATGCTGACGGCAGATGTAAATTAAAAATGAGGGCCGGCTTTTTTGTGACATCAATAGATGTAAATTAAGTGTGAAAAATGCAATATTGTGTTCAGAATATTAAAGACTTTAGCCTGTTAGGCTCAGAAAGTAACGAAGGAATGAAAAACAACGAATCGGCCAATGACAGGACTATAAATTTATTTCGTCCAGAGGTAAAGAGAAGTTTGCAAATAAGCGGTGTCAAAGACAATCAGGGATTGTATTAGTTTCTCTTTACACTGAAAAGTGATTGGTCGAGAATTTTGCTCCATCTGTCAGCTACTCCGAAGCAATTAGATCCAGTCGCGACTTTACCGATAAACAAACAAAATGACTTTCTTTCATTTTTCTCTCTAAATAATCAGCTGGTAAAGTTAAAAAATTTGTCCACTATTGCAAATAGAGAGTGTTGAATTCAGGTAGAATTGAAAAAAGCAGAACCCTAATAATTCAGCGTTTAAGAAAACTGAATCTGAATCTTGTGCCATTATACTAGACGAAAAGTGTTATGTGGTGCAATGTATTGTGCAACCATCTATACGTGCAATCATATGAATACAGACTACTTCGTGGCCGATTCTGAGAACACCTTGGCGAAGTTGAAAGAAATGACTAGGACGCAGCCAAACCAGTCGCTAGACACGTTAATCTCCCCACTTATTCTATAAAGCATATGGCAGTTTCCGGCCTTTCCCTACATTTAGGCAGCTCGCAAAGCCGCAAAACACAAGAACAAAAATGTTTCTTCCAAATCGGCACTCTTAATCCCCACGGTATCAACGAGCGCTTTTCATCCAACTAATTTATTCTTGTTTTCTCGTCACCACATTTCCACCAATAGCGTAGCTCCATTGTCTGCATATAAACCCACATACAACCCACAATTCCTCCAATCGCTCTGACGATGAGCTCACGCTCGAAACGTCAGCCTTTACACTCTTTACGGTGGCCAATTTATGTTTTCAACTCAGTTGTTTACACTAAATTACCTATATATATATATATATATATATATATATATATATATATATATATATACACACAAACAAATTAAATGAAAAATTAATATGAAATAAGAAATTAAATGATCTCTAAAAAGGTTAAAATACATTTTTCTTTTCCCTGTGGTGGATCTGTACAGGGAGATCTCAGGGATCTGGGCATTTCTTGTCGATCGGTTAGTGGCAACTGACTTAAGTGAGAATTTCCACAAGAGCGTTAACTTTTTGCATCACTGATTTTTCTTAGAATGGCAGAGAGCACTAAAGTGGATCTGAGCGCGTGATTCGCAATCCGGATATCTGTGGTCTGACTCTAGCCAGCCTCCTCCTGAGAGCGAGGTTGGAGTCTAACGTCATTCTGAGTACATAGCCAACACGGCTTCCACCGACTGAAGTTATTAAGAAGCTATGTCATGTAATTTGAGGTCTCTTCAGCTCCAAAGGGAATCTTCTCTTTTGGAATAAGTATTTGTTTGCTGCGGTAGACAAACACTGATGATGGGTTCAAAGATAACAAAAAAACCCAGGATAGCCGAAAACAGCGGTGATTGGTGCAGGGTACAATTAAAAAAGTGAAAATTGAGTCTAAATTTTTCAAAACGGACTAACCGTCCGAGTGAAAGGCGTAGAGCTCCTTCTACTTTGTGTAATTAGCATAAAATGTATAGCCTTCTGTCTTTGCCTAAGTTAGTAAGTGCCTGGGTTATTGTTGACAAGGTTGAAACTTTAAGTCGAATGGACAACCATCAAGTCAAGTCAACTTAGTATTATTCTTTATATCAAAAACCGCACAACTAAATTCTAGAAGTCTATGCGTGATCGTAAGTAAGCAAAGGCTTTATTCAAAGTGGGTTATATTTAACTATAGTAAAAACACTGATGAACTCGTGGCACTTATTACACTATAAAGCGACCTAAAAATCCGTTTTGAATTTAATTTACAAGCTATACACTTAACAAGGTTATAAATTTATTATCCTATCTACAAGTACAAATACAAACATTAATTGATGACAACCTTAAAATGATTCAAGTAGCGAGGAGGCTTTCTAGTTATTTATAAATTTCTCATACAAAACGCGCTTGAAACTAGCAACTGATACTTTCTTACGCTTGACTCTATAAAACTCCATTACGTAATTTTCCTAACCGTTAAAGTTCGTCATCCATTAGTTTTCCTTTGGTACTTTTTACAAATCAAGTTTAACATTACCATGGCCGAGGCTTTTAACTTATGCGTTGTGATCGATATTAGAAACGAACTGTTACTCTCTGAACCGATTGATGATGCCTCGCGTTATGTCCATGAGAGTGCGACGAATGGGTCTCATCTTCCAGCAGTATATAACAGGGTCCAAAGACGAGTTAAGGAAAAACATAGTCATTACATAGAGCCGAGCTTCGTAAAAAGAGATTAAACTTAAAAGGTGAGTTAGGAGTAAAAAAGAGAGAACATAGCAAGGCAAATAACAAATTAAGAACACAATACATACATAAAATGTCCCAAGAGCGGACTTACGAAGCTTCAAAAAGTTTGATAAGTCACCATTTTGAACTCCCTGTTGTACTTCTTGGATTTGAAGGCCTTCGATCTGGATTATGTGTCGCTTTAAGACTATATAAATCCTCCAGTAGACAATTACTACCACAATAAGGCAAACAGTCTTAATCACTAGCCCAATGACTTGTGAGCTGAAAAGCAATGGATTCCAAAAGACACTAGAAGAAATAATTGCGCTTAACAGCCATATTGATATCACCGCTGCAATGACGCGCTTGTGAGTTACAAGCTCTTGATATCTGAGATGAAGATGAACAGCTAAGAACCTGTCCACACTTATGGTTACAACATTAAAGAGCGAAGATACACAAAAGAATTTCATAATGGCCATCAATCTCTTATATGAAATGCAGTCGATACGTTTTCGATTTAACCAGCTGACTAGAATAAAAATATGGAGCGGCTGTGCCAACAAACCAACGCCGACATCGGAGGCAGCCAGGCTAAGTAATAATGTTCTCAAAGGTTTTGGCAACAACGCAGTTTTCCTTATCGCATGGATGGTAACGATGTTCAAAATGAAAGTTGTATAACACAAACAGCTGTTGAAGACACAATAAGCGACGAGTGCCGAACGAAAATCTTCAACATCCGTAGAGGTTCCGAAAAAAGATTTGTTGAGAAGGTCGCAAACGTTATCCGCCATGAGAGCTGAGTGTTAAAACTACTGTGACTCTGATAATTTCCGATTCTAAAACGGAAAATTTGAATTCATATGTAGCTGTCAATCACAAGCATATAACACAATCGAAGCCATCTGTACGTACAGTCAAGATGTCTTCAACTCCTGCATTTGAATTTTTGAAAAAAGCATCGAGCATCGCTTTAATTCAGCGTTCGTTAGAATTAATACAAATTATCTGTTTAATACTTCAAGACATTTTTTAACTAAACATGGGATTTATACCTGGAAAAAGTTATTTGAAGGAAGGCTGTCATTAACATATTTTTCATCTATCAAAATGAATAAACGAAACATTATAGTCAGTTAAATTAAAGAGCGCTTGACATATACTTCTTTATTATTAAGTTCGCCTGAAAACACTTAATACACTTCAGAGACCAAATATTTTATGGTTGATGAGGGGTGGGGAGAGAGACCCAAATAATTATTACGAATAAATTATGCACTCATTTGTGGCGGATCTCGGAGGTATTTAGAATCTTCGGCAAACTTACTAAACTGCGATAATACCGGTTTATTTTTTAATCGTTTTGGCGTAGCTTGGGAATATTTTCCGGTGGTAGATTATTACAGATAGCCCTCCCCCCTTTACAGACGCAAACCGCGTTCGGCTCTCACTTTGACTACCTCCTCACAAGTCCCGGATCCATTTCAGTTCATGAACAGCTGCACATAGCTCCGAAAAAGTCTAGCAATGGCCATGTAATATTTTTAGACATTTCAACCGAAAGAAATACAGATAACACATTTATCAAACAATCATTCTGCATCAAGCGCCAAACAAAAAGAATACAGGAGTTTGACTATTGTTTATGCTGACGACAGATGTAAATTAAAAATGAGGGCCGGCTTTTTTGTGACATCAATAGATGTAAATTAAGTGTGAAAAATACAATATTGTGTTTAGAATATTAAAGACTTTAGCCTGTTAGGCTCAGAAAGTAACGAAGGAATGAAAAACAACGAATCGGCCAATGACAGGACTATAAATTTATTTCGTCCAGAGGTAAAGAGTAGTTTGCAAATGAGCGGTGTCAAAGACAATCAGGGATTGTATTAGTTTCTCTTTACACTGTAAAGTGATTGGTCGAAAATTTTAGTCCATCTGTCAGCTACTCCGAAGCAATTAGATCCAGTCGCGACTTTACCGATAAACAAAAAAAATGACTTTCCTTTATTTTTCTCTCTGAATAATCAGCTGGTAAAGTTAAAAATACATATATACAAACAAATTAAATGAAAAATTAATATGAAATAAGAAATTAAATGATCTCTCAAAACGTTAAAATACATTTTTCTTTTCCCTGTGGTGGATCTGTACAGGGAGATCTGAGGAATCTGGGCATTCCTTGTCGATCGGTTAGTGGCAACTGACTTAAGTGAGAATTTCCACAAGAGCGTTAACTTTATGTATCACTGATTTTTCTTAGAATGGCAGAGAGCACTAAAGGGGATCTGAGCGTGTGATTCGCAATCCGGATATATCTGGTCTGACTCTAGCCAGCTTCCTCCTGGGAGCGAGGTTGGAGTCTAACGTCATTCTGAGTACATAGCCAACACGTCTTCCACCGACTGGAGTTATTAAGAAGCTATGTCATGTAATTTGAGGTCTATTCAGCTCCAAAGGGAATCTTCTCTTTTGGAATAAGTATTTGTTTACAGAAAAACACTGATGAAAGTTCAAAGATAGCAACAAAAAAAACCAGGATAGCCGAAAACAGCGGTGATTGGTGCAGGGTACAATTAAAAAAGTGAAAATTGAGTCTAAATTTTTCAAAACGGACTAACCGTCCGAGTGAAAGGCGTAGAGCTCCTTCTACTTTGTGTAATTAGCATAAAATGTATAGCCTTCTGTCTTTGCCTAAGTTAGTAAGTGCCCGGGTTATTGTTGACAAGGTTGAGACTTTTAGTCGAATGGACAACCATCAAGTCAAGTCAACTTAGTATTATTCTTTATATCAAAAACCGCACAACTAAATTCTAGAAGTCTATGCGTGATCGTAAGTAAGCAAAGGCTTTATTCAAAGTGGGTTATATTTAACTATAGTAAAAACACTGATGAACTCGTGGCACTTATTACACTATAAAGCGACCTAAAAATCCGTTTTGTATTTAATTCACAAGCTATACACTTAACAAGGTTATAAATTTATTATCATATCGACAAGTACAAATACATACATTAATTGATGACAACCTTAAAATGATTCGAATAGCGAGGAAGCTTTCTAGTTATTTATAAATTTCTCATACAAAATGCGCTTGAAACTAGCAACTGATACTTTCTTACGCTTGGCTCTATAAAACTCCATTGCGTAATTTTCCTAACCGTTAAAGTTCGTCATCCATTAGTTTTCCTTAGGTACTTTTTACAAATCAAGTTTTACATTACCGTGGCCGAGGCTTTTAACTTATGCATTGTGAATCGGTATCAGAAACGAACTGTTATTCTCTGAACCGATTGATGATGCCTCGCATTATGTCCATGAGAGTGCGACGAATGGGTCCCATCTTCCAGCAGTATATAACAGGGTCCAAAGACGAGTTAAGGAAAAACAAAGTCATTACATAGAGCCGAGCTTCGTAAAAAGAGATTGAACTTAAAAGGTGAGTTAGGAGTAAAAAAGAGAGAATATAGCAAGGCAAATAACAAATTAAGAACACAATACATACAAAAAATGTTCCAAGAGCTGACTTTCGAAGCTTCAAAAAGTTTGATAAGTCGCCATTTTGAACTCCCTGTTGTACTTCTTGGATTTGAAGGCCTTCAATCTGGATTACGTGTCGCTTTAAGACTATATAAATCCTCCAGTGGACAATAACTACCACAATAAAGCAAACAGTCTTAATCACTAGCCCAATGACTTGTGAGATGAAAAGCAATGGATCCCAAAAGACACTAGAAGAAATAATTGCGCTTAACAGCCATATTGATATCACCGCTGCAATGACGCGCTTGTGAGTCACAAGCTCTTGATATCTGAGATGAAGATGAACAGCTAAGAACCTGTCCACACTTATGGTTACAACATTGAAGAGCGAAGATACACAAAAGAATCTCATAATCGCCATCAATCTCTTATAAGAAATGCAGTCGATACGTTTTCGATTTAACCAGCTGACTAGAATAAAAATATGGAGCGGCTGTGCCAACAAACCAACGCCAACATCGGAGGCAGCCAGGCTCAGTAATAATGTTCTCAAAGGTTTTGGCAACAACGCAGTTTTCCTTATCGCATGGATGGTAAGGATGTTCAAAATGATGGTTGTATAACACAAACAGCTGTGGAAGACATAATAAGCGACAAGTGCCGGACGAAACTCTTCAACATCCGGAGAGGTTCCGAAAGAAGGTTTGTTGAGAATGTCGCAAACGTTCTCCGCCATGAGAGCTGAGTGTTAAAACTACTGCGGCTGTGATAATTTCCAATTCTAAAACGAAAAATTTTAAGTAATATGTAGCTGTCAATAACGAGGATAGAACACAATCAAAGCCATCTGTACGTACAGTCAAGATGTCTTCAACTCCGGCATTTGAAGTTTTGAAAAAAAGCATTGAGTATCGCGTTAACTCACCGTTAGTTAGAACTAAAACAAATTATTTGTTTAATGTTTCAAGACATTCCAACGAAACATGGGAGTTATATCCGAAAGAAGTTATTTAAAGGAAGGCTGTCATTAACATATTTTCGTCTATCAAAATGAATAAACAAAACAGTATAGTCAGTTAGACTAAAGAGCGCTTGAAACATGTTACCTTATTTCTAAATTCGTCTGAAAACATGGAAGACATCTTCAGAGACACAACATTTTTACATATTCCAACCGAAAGAAATACAGACAAAAGGAAAAGGAAATTATAAAGCCTTATGAAGGTTATAAATTTAAATAAATTAAGATTAAGAACTAGTTAATATTAAAATATAAGAATTTAACAATGTAGTCACCAAAAATGTAAAATGTATAAAAATGTATAAAATGTATAAAATGTATAAAAATGTATAAAATGTAAAAATGTATAAAAATGTATAAAATGTGTAAAAATGTATAAAAATGTAAAAATGTATAAAAAATGTATAAAAAATGTATGTATAAAATGTATAAAAATGTATAAAAATGTATAAAAAAATGTATAAAAATGTATAAAAATGTATAAAAATGTATAAAAATGTATAAAAATGTATAAAAATGTAATCATGAAAAACAGTAAATATAATCAAGGATAGATCCTCACCGCACTAGAGTCCTGTGAGATCTAATGTTTTTAAGTCATTTTTAAAAGTAGTAAATGTTTGTATCTTTCGAGACTCGTCCGGTAAAGCGTTCCATAATTTCGATGCAGCATATCTCCATGATCTTAACCCGAAGGTTGTTGATTTTACTTTTGGGAGGTCCAGTATTGCGGTGCCCCTAAGGTTATAAGTGGAGCACCTTACTGATATAAGATCACGTAAGCTTTTTGGACCTGCATCACTGGCTAATATCTTAAAGACAATACTTTCGCTAATCGCTGTTCACGAAGACTTGAGAGACTGATACGCTTACAAAGTTCCTCATAAGGCGAGGACTTATCTCTAAAAACAAAACGGAGCGTTTATGCCAGAAGAAAACTTTTATGTGGTGCTATAAATAATGGAATAACCTATATGCGCCATCATATGAATGTAAATGGACAGAACTTCCATATGGTACTGTTTGCAATGAGGTGAGAAGGATTCCTACCTTTACGCCCGTGAATAAGACCCACTCAAATGAAAGGTGCTTTGGGGTTCCAGCTTGGTGTGGATGACAAATTAGTGTTTGACTATTTAAATGAAAGCTATAGCGTAGGATTTTAATGTGGTACAGTTTATCGTGCAGCATAAGGTGGTTCCGGCTTGGATAACATCCTGTATTTTTACTGCTCGAATCATGGAAAGCTATTTAGCAGTTCTACCATGTGCACAGTTTATCAAGCACCACCAAGTATTTTTGAAGTCTGTGGATCAAACACTAGCGTTTGACCATTCAAATGAAAGCCACGGAGAATTATTTTTAAGGTATTTTATGTGTTTCAGTTCATTCTATTCTTCAAGGTGGTTTTCACCACAAACCTTTGAGTTTAGCGGGCCGTACAGTGATGTACAGCCTGCTAAATTGACCAGTTATAGCCCAAGTACTAACCGAGAGATATAATAATGTTAGTTATCTAGACCGTGGCATAACGGTGTAGCTCGCACTCGGAATGAGAAGGTGAATTGCAGAATGCATATCGCTCTCACGGTCCAGAATCACAGCTTAGATTAGTGTATACTTTTTGTAGTGAGTCCATTATAGCGTGTCGAATTTGTCTCACCCTCCAGCCGTAAATAACAGGGTTTAGTAATGAATTGAAGAACACAATCGTATGTCTATAGGGGGAAAAATTTTTATTACAATATTGGGGCCGTTAATTACACGGGCAACCAAAAGGATAATGCGAGGAAAATATCAAACCAAGAACGCAAAGTAAACGTATACAACACCGACAGCAGTTTTCATCATCCTTGCAAAATTCCCCATCTCGCTATTTTTTTTAGCTTGTGCCTCTTGTTCTCGTACTTGCTGAATTGAATGAGTTATATCTGCTTCTCGTTGGATTAATTTTCAATGTACTCTCAACTATTGTGCTTAATTTGAAAACAGTTCCTCCTATCAATGACGTGGTGCAGCTTAGGGAATTAAGAGTACTTTTTAATATTACATTTCGTGGACACTAACTCGAAGGTAGATCTTTACATCTAGAGAATTACAGGATAGAATGTCTTCGAAATTTCTCTTGATAAAACATTGAGGCGAGGTACGTCGAGTGCATTGAAGAGGCCGCCAAATATTACCCTTACCTGCACTGGTTTTGTAACACGCTCGACGTATGAATTCGAAGTTGACAGCTGTTGTATTTTCTTTTCATTCTACTGACAATGCCATTTGCGTTGATTTGAATAATTGCATGACTTAATTCATTTTTAGTATTCGTCTAATCTTCATGTGCGGTATCCAAATTAACGGAAACGGCCTCTTTATTAGAAACGAGGGATTAGAAGTAAAAGACAATAGCTGTTTACTTTAATATCATACAAAGAAAAACCTGAGATAAGGAAGTAGAGAAAAAACTTTTCGTCGTGTTTTCTTTTCTTAAGAAGCCTTGTAATTTTATTTCAAGTCATTGTAGTTCCAAAGAGACTTCTTCTGCCCTCCCCCTCCTCCCCCCGTGAAAAGTCGGAAAGCTTGCTTCTCAAGCATAGTGATGACTTCCTTGAAAGTGGAAGCCTTAACTCTTTCTTTTATTGGCAGACCTCGTAAGTGCGCATTTACTATGTCACGGTAACTAGATACCGTTCAGTTGACGGTGTGATTTACAGAGGTGTCGCTCCATTGGATGTTCGCCACCTTCCAGTTCGCCCCAATCAAAAAGAGATCGCTCCTCCACCAAAAAGCTGCTCAAATGACCTGACCGGGGGCTGGTGGTATAACGATTATCACAACTAAAATTTGAACGGGCGGTTCATGAGGAACACAAGAGCTTACAGTGGTGTTGGCTGGGTTCGATTTAAACATTACCTCTCATTAAAGTTTGTAAAAAAGGGAGATGAGAACTCAGTCCTCCCTGAAAGAAAAAGAGAATGAAAGGGAGAAATGAGACAAACCTTTTTTGCACAAATTCGTGAAACAATTTTGAGTGCATTTATAAAGTATTTCTGACAAAAAATTGTAACGCGTAACTGTTTCGTCCACAAACGTAAGAGCTATACCGTTATGCCCTGCTCTAGATAAATATATGTTATCACCTAAACTGCGGTGTTATACAGGGATTTTCGGCCTGAGAAAAGCCGTAACAACACACGTGAAATCAAAGTGCTCTGTGAGCAAACTCGTGAATTGACACATGATTTTTTTAGACTATGTTTAATGTTATCTGGTTTAGGGAATTTTGTGGTTGATTGTCATATCTAGAGTACGAGCAGTAGTTCAGTGTTCACTAATGTAGCAAAGAAACAAAGTAACGTTGGGATAAGAAGGCATTACAATTGAAATGATCAAGCTATTACATTTGACAAGGTGGATGATGTCATGTGTTTTAAACGTCTATCATTTTTGTTTCTGGTTTAAAAGAAAAGGTTGGAAGTAAATGTGGGTGAAAAGTGAAATTTACTGTCTTTCGTTGTAAATATTAGAAAATCAAGGCAAGACTGTCTTAATGAAAACATTAACGATTCCCTTTTTATCAAATGAGACAAACGGGAACGAGTTTTGAGTGATATAACTAAGCCAAGCCTGCCACCGTCATTTTGGATCTCCGCCTGAGTAGATTTAAGTCACGTGCTAGGCAACGTATAATCAATAACAAGATAGAATTTCATTTCAGGCCTATTTATCAATTTTGTGGTGTGTAACTTTCGCATTTTAGTACGTTGTATATATGTTGAATCTTCAAATTGTCTTGAAACTTAAAAGAAAATTGTTCTTTAAAAATTCACTGAAAATCGATAGCTAAAATTGTTTGTTTAGGTGTTATTTGATTTTCGTGTTAACTTGTTATTTCGTCAGTCGCCGGCATCTTTTGTTGCTTCACACAGGAAAAATACACGCGACGAAACGTAATGATCAATGTTGTCCTCAATCTCACGCCATAACGGAAAAAGCATTTGAACATCTGTAAACTCCGAGCGCTTCGCAGTAAGTGATATTTTCAATGAATCTTCGGATTGTTTTCAAGTTCAAGGATTGTAAATTACTATTTTATGAAAAACGAAGGTTGTTCTGTTATTTCAGTGTGAATCCTTGCATGCCTGCCAGTCGCTGGCGCCGCTTGTTGAAACTAAAACGAAAAAAAAAAACTCTTTAAAGATTATCATTGGCTTCTTTTTCACCCCACCACTATTCCTAGCAACAAAGGTCGCCATTTCGTCTGTTTATTGCTCGCCAAAAACTATCAAATGCACTCAAAAGCCTAAAATTGAAAAAAAGTTTACAGGAATCGACCAATCGAGCGAGCGAGCGAGCGAATGGTATTCCCCACATCGTATCTATAACTCGCTCTTGCGCATGCGCGCAATTCACGAGTTAAAAAGATCGTATTTTTTCCACGTGTGTTGATATAGCCAATCAGCTGCTGACACGTCACTCGCCTTTGGCGCCACTCGGTCAGGTTGATGGATGAACGGCTAGCCTTCACGATTCTCGGCACAAGGTAGTCTGTCAGAACTTTCACGGATTATGGCGGCTAAAACACTAAAAAAAATCCGTCTCGCTGACAGAAAGTGAGGTTCAAACTTTCTTAGAAGGGGAAAATCCAATATACAAAAAGAAAAACCGAAAGTTACGTATGCAGTGGCTTTGGTGTTGGCGTTTCTCGCGACTGAGAACGAAAATCGACAACTGGATGATTCGCCACCGGCCGATTTCGGCCGTCAATAAATGAGAATTTTGATGGAACATTGTAAGTGATGTCTACATTTTTACAAAAGGAAAGAAGAATATTAACACGGCAAAGAACGAAAATGTCGAATTAACTCACACACAGGTATTTTGTGGTAGATTGTGTGTGTTGTGCGAATAACTGTAATCAAAAATAAACTGTATTGGTGCCACGGATACCCTTCAATACAAAATGCAGACTTTAGACTGCAGGATAAATAATGTAGACTGGGTACAAAATCTAAACTGCAGACTGCAGAGTGGGTACAAAATGCAGACTGAGAATCTAAAGAGTTTTTTCGTCAGGTATGTGATAACATGTCATCTGATAACTTACCGAGCGTCACGCAATCGCTTCTCCGCGGTCAGCTTTCACGATTATTTACACTATTTTGGAATATTCCTGAGCCATTTCCTAATGAAAATCGATCGTAATATAATTTCAAGCCTTCATATAGTATTCTCACTTTGCAAGTTGGTTGGTGTCTATTTACTTTCGGATTTATTGTTTGTTTGTTTGCCTTTTTATTTTTGTTTTCTTTTAACTCTTTAGGACACTGATGTCCTTGTTAAGGTTTTCTGGTATAGTTTCTGAACTATGAGTATACTTACGCCCATTATATCAGACTTCAACCTACGAGTACTGAGAATTTGGGGGAAAAACAATGGAAATAAAAATCGCGAGAACTAATAACTCGGAAATGGCGGCTTAAAAATACAGACAGATATACTGATATACTAGTATGAATGTGTATATATACATATACATACATATATGTAGATATATAGGAAGTCTGTGTATTGATTTTACCGTTTTACAGTGCTCGATACATAGAAGTAGAGCGCGATATATTTTGCGATAGGTGAAAAAAAAACAGACAGACCACACTTTCATCCTTACAAGCCTGTTTCGTGATTGCACACTCATCAGGGGATTTGATCGAATAAAATTAATGTGAAATAAGAAATTAAATGATCTGTGAAGAGGTTAAAATAAATTGTTTCTTTAAGTAGAGTTTGAATTCTGTCAATATCCATCTCCACTAGGCTGAAAGGCCCAAGGAATTCCAAAGTTTGACATTCCTAAAATAAATTGTTCTTTGCCCTGTGGTGGATCTGTACAGGGGGATCTGAGGAATCTGGGCATTCCTTGTCGATCGACTAGTGACAACTGACTTTAGTGAGAATTTCAATAAGAAAGTTAACTTTATGCATCACTAATTTTTCTTAGAATGGCAGAGAGAACTAAAGTGGATCTGAGTGCGTGATTCGCAATCCGGATGTCTGTGGCCTTACTCCAGCCAGCCTCCTCCTGGGAGCGAGGTTGGAGTCTGACGTCATTCTTTGTACATAGGCCAACTGGTCTCCCACCGACTGGAGTTATGAAGAAGCTACGTCATGTAATTTGTGGTCTCTTCGGCTCCACAAGGAATCTTCTCTTTTAGAATAGGTGTTTGTTTGCTGTGGAAGATAAACACTAAAAAAAGTTCCAATATGCCGAAAAAAAAACAAGGGTAGACGAGAACAGTGGTGATTGGCGCAGGGTGCAATTAAAAATAGTAACAATTGAGGCTAAAATTTTCAAAACGGACTAACCGTCTAAGTGAAAGGCGTAGAGCTCCTTGTAATTTGTGTAATTAGCATAAAATGTATAACCTTCTGTATTGCCTAAGTTAGTAATTGCCCGTGTTACTGTTGACAAAGTTGAGACCTTTAGTCGAATAGACAACCATCAAGTCTAATCGACTTAATATTATTCTTTATGTCAGAAACTGCACAACTGAATTCTGGAAGTCTGTGTGATCGCAAGTAAGTAAAGGCTTTATTCAAAGAGGGTTATACTTAACTCATGTCCTTATTACACTATAAAGCGATCTAAAAGTCGGTTTTGTATTTAATTCACATGCTATATACATGTATTAACTGATGACATAACCTTGAAATAATATTTCAAATAGGGAGAAAGCTTCCTGGTCATTTATAAATTTCTCGTACAAAATGCGCTTGAAACTAGCAACTGATACTTTCCTATGCTTGACTCTATAGTACCTCAATGTATATTTTTCCTAACTTTAAAAGTTTATCCTCCCTCAGGTTTCCTCAAACACTTTCGACAGATCAAGTTTAATTTAACGATGGCCGAGGCTTTCATCCTATGGATTGTGAATTGGCATCAGAAACGAACCTAACCAATGTGAAAAACACTACAATCCTACAAACTCAACTACTTTATTACACAACGAGTGATATTCTTAATAGGAAGCGACTCTTAAAGGCAGTACAGTTCTTACGCTCCATAAACTTACTTAAGCCCACTACAGTCTATATCTTAACTCGCCACTGAGTAGAACTCAGTTTCCTCCAACTTTTCTTGAAATTAACAATCTTCCACTGTAGTTCTCTCTCACGGTATAGCTTTCTAAACAGTCTGTTACTCCTGACAACAACTACGACTTCTACTACATAACCGGGTCCTTACATACATTCAGCAAGTGGTATTGAACATTCCAGAAGCTTACAAAATAACTATTTTAATAGTATTACGTAATAATTGCGTGACTTGATGAAATATTTCAGGAAGCTCTATGGTACGCATATCACAATGACTAAGCAGTCTGGACTTTTTTATAAGCTTCTATTTACAACAACAATTACTCATAACAAATACTATTGTCTGAACCGATTGACGATGCCTCGCATTATGTCCATGAGAGTGCGACGAATGGGTCCCATCTTCCAGCAGTATATAACAGGGTTCAAAGACGAGTTAAGGAAAAAGAAAGTCGTTATATAGGGCTGAGCTTTGTAGTAAGAGATTAAACTTAAAAGGCGAGCCATGAATAAAAAAGAGAGAATATAGGTAGGCAAATAACAAATCAAGAACACAATACATACATAAAATGTTCCAAGAGCTGACTTTCGAAGCTTCAAAAAGTTAGATAAGTCGCCATTTTGAACTCCCTGTTGTACTTCTTGGATTTGAAGGCCTTCAATCTGATTTTTGTGTCGCTTTAAGACTATAGAAATTCTCCAGTAGACGATTACCACCAGAATTAGGCAAACAGTCATAATCACGAGCTCAAAGACTTCTGAGCTGAAAAGCAATGGATTCCAAAAGACACTAGAAGAAATAATTGCGCTTAACAGCCATATTGATATCACCGCTGCGATGACGCGCCTGTGAGTCACAAGCTCTTGATATCTGAGATGAAGATGAACAGCTAAGAACCTGTCCACACTTATGATTACAACATTAAAGAGTGAGGATATGCAAAAGAAAATAATAACGGCGGACAATCCCTTGTGGTAAATACAGTCGATACGTTTTTGCTTTGACCGGCTGACAAAAGTAGAAATGTAGAGCGGTTGGACCAACAAACCAACGCCAACATCGGAGGCAGCCATGCTCAGTAATAATGTTCTCAAAGGTTTCGGCAACAACGCGGTTTTCCTTATCGCATGGATGGTAACAATGTTCAAAATGATGGTTGTATAAGACAAAAAGCTGTTTAAGACACAAAAAGCGATAAGTGCCAGACGAACCCCTCTAACATTCGCAGAGAGAAACTCGTTGAGAATGTCGCAAACGTTTTCAGCCATGAGAACTGAGCGTTAAAACTACTGTGGTTGTGATAATTTCCAATTCTAAAACGAAAAATTTTACGTAATATGTAGCTGTCAATAACGAGGATAGAACACAATCAAAGCCATCTGTACGTACAGTCAAGATGTCTTCAACTCCGGCATTTGAAGTTTTGAAAAAAAGCATTGAGTATCGCGTTAACTCACCGTTAGTTAGAACTAAAACAAATTACTTGTTTAATGCTTCAAGACATTCCAACGAAACATGGGAGTTATATCCGAAAGAAGTTATTTAAAGGAAGGCTGTCATTAACATATTTTTCGTCTATCAAAATGAATAAACAAAACATTATAGTCAGTTAGACTAAAGAGCGCTTGAAACATGTTACCTTATTTCTAAATTCGTCTGAAAACATGGAAGACATCTTCAGAGACACAACATTTTTACAAGACATTTTATCAAACACTAATTCTGCATAAAGCACTTAAACGAAATGAATACAGGAAGCTTGGCTATTGTTTATATTGACGGCCGTTGTAAATTAAAAATGAGGGCTGGTATTATTTTTGTAACATTAATACATGTAAATTAGAAGTGAAAAATGCGATATTGTGTTTGAATATGAAAGACTTGCAAAATGATTTTCCCAAAATTTTTCTCTCTAAATAATCTGCTGGTTAAAGTTTGTCCACTATTGCAAATAGAGAGTGTTGAATTCAGGTTGTATTGAAAAAAGCAGAACCCTAAAAATTGTGCGCATAAGAATACTCCACGTGAATCTTGTGCCATTATGCCAGACGAAAACTTTTATGTGGTGCTATAAATAATGGAATAACCTATATGCGCCATCATATGAATGTAAATGGACAGAACTTCCATACTGGTACTGTTTGCAATGAGGTGAGAAGGGATTCCTACCTTTACGCCCGTGAATAAGACCCACTCAAATGAAAGGTGCTTTGGGGTTCCATTTAGTGTGGATGACAAATTAGTGTTTGACTATTTAAATGAAAGCTATAGCGTAGTATTTTAATGTGGTACAGTTTATCGTGCAGCATAAGGTGGTTCCGGCTTGGATAACATCCTGTATTTTTACTGCTCGAATCATGGAAAGCTATTTAGCAGTTCTACCATGTGCACAGTTTATCAAGCACCACGAAGTATTTTTGAAGTCTGTGGATCAAACACTAGCGTTTGACCATTCAAATGAAAGCCACGGAGAATTATTTTTAAGGTGTTTTATGTGTTTCAGTTCATTCTATTCTTCAAGGTGGTTTTCACCACAAACCTTTGAGTTTAGCGGGCCGTACAGTGATGTACAGCCTGCTAAATTGACCAGTTATAGCCCAAGTACTAACCGAGAGATATAATAATGTTAGTTATCTAGACCGTGGCATAACGGTGTAGCTCGCACTCGGAATGAGACGGTGAATTGCAGAATGCATATCGCTCTCACGGTCCAGAATCACAGCTTAGATTAGTGTATACTTTTTGTTGTGAGTCCATTATAGCGTGTCGAATTTGTCTCACCCTCCAGCCGTAAATAACAGGGTTTAGTAATGAATTGAAGAACACAATCGTATGTCTATAGGGGGAAAAGTTTTTATTACAATATTGGGGCCGTTAATTACACGGGCAGCCAAAAGGATAATGCGAGGAAAATATCAAACCAAGAACGCAAAGTAAACGTATACAACACCGACAGCAGTTTTCATCATCCTTGCAAAATTCCCCATCTCGCAATTTTTTTTAGCTTGTGCCTCTTGTTCTCGTACTTGCTGAATTGAATGAGTTATATCTGCTTCTCGTTGGATTAATTTTCAATGTACTCTCAACTATTGTACTTAATTTGAAAACAGTTCCTCCTATCAATGACGTGGTGCAGCTTAGGGAATTAAGAGTACTTTTTAATATTACATTTCGTGGACACTAACTCGAAGGTAGATCTTTACATCTAGAGAATTACAGGATAGAATGTCTTCGAAATTTCTCTTGATAAAACATTGAGGCGAGGTACGTCGAGTGCATTGAAGAGACCGCGAAATATTACCCTTACCTGTACTGGTTTTGTAACACGCTCGACGTATGAATTCGAAGTTGACAGCTGTTGTATTTTCTTTTCATTCTACTGACAATGCCATTTGCGTTGATTTGAATAATTGCATGACTTAGTTCATTTTTAGTATTCGTCTAATCTTCATGTGCGGTATCCAAATTAACGAAAACGGCCCTTTATTAGAAACGAGGGATTAGAAGTAAAAGACAATAGCTGTATACTTTAATATCATACAAAGAAAAACCTGAGATAAGGAAGTAGAGAAAAAACTTATCGTCGTGTTTTCTTTTCTTAAGAAGCCTTGTAATTTTATTTCAAGTCATTGTAGTTCCAAAGAGACTTCTTCTGCCCTCCCCCTCCTCCCCCCGAGAAAAGTCGGAAAGCTTGCTTCTCAAGCATAGTGATGACTTCCTTGAAAGTGGAAGCCTTAACTCTTTCTTTTATTGGCAGACCTCGTAAGTGCGCATTTACTATGTCACGGTAACTAGATACCGTTCAGTTGACGGTGTGATTTACAGAGGTGTCGCTCCATTGGATGTTCGCCACCTTCCAGTTCGCCCCAATCAAAAAGAGATCGCTCCTCCACCAAAAAGCTGCTCAAATGACCAGACCGGGGGATGGTGGTATAACGATTATCACAACTAAAATTTGAACGGGCGGTTCATGAGGAACACAAGAGCTTACAGTGGTGTTGGCTGGGTTCGATTTAAACATAACCTCTCATTAAAGTTTGTAAAAAAGGGAGATTAGAGCTCAGTCCTCCCTGAAAGAAAAAGAGAATGAAAGGGAGAAATGAGACAAACCTTTTTTGCACAAATTCGTGAAACAATTTTGAGTGCATTTATAAAGTTTTTCTCACAAAAAATTGCAACGCGTAACTGATTCGTCCACAAACGTAAGAGCTATACCGTTATGCCCTGCTCTAGATAAATATATGTTATCACCTTAACTGCAGTGTTATACAGGGATTTTCGGCCTGAGAAAAGCCGTAACAACACACGTGAAAAAAGATCGTATTTTTTCCACGTGTGTTGATATAGCCAATCAGCTGCTGACACGTCACTCGCCTTTGGCGCCACTCGGTCAGGTTGATGGATGAACGGCTAACCTTCACGATTCTCGGCACAAGGTAGTTTGTCAGAACTTTCACGGATTATGGCGGCTAAAACACTAAAAAAATCCGTCTCGCTGACAGACAGTGAGGCTCAAACTTTCTTAGAAGGGGAAAAACTAATATACAAAAAGAAAAACCGAAAGTTACGTATGCAGTGGCTTTGGTGTTGGCATTTTTCGCGACTAAGAACGAAAATCGACAACTGGAAGATTCGCCACCGGCCGATTTTGGCCGTCAATAAATGAGAATTTTGATGAAACATTGTAAGTGATGTCTACATTTTTACAAAAGGAAAGAAGAACACGGCAAAGAACGAAAATGTCGAATTAACTCACACACAGGTATTTTGTGTTAGATTGTGTGCGTTGTGCGAATAACTGTAATCAAAAATAAACTGTATTGGTGCCACGGATACCCTTCAATACAAAATGCAGACTTTAGACTGCAGACAGGATAAATAATGTAGACTGGGTACAAAATCTAAACTGCAGACTGCAGAGTGGGTACAAAATTCAGACTGAGAATCTAAAGAGTTTTTTCGTCTGGTATGTGATAACATGTCATCTGATAACTTACCGAGCGTCACGCAATCGCTTCTCCGCGGTCAGCTTTCACGATTATTTGCACTATTTTGGAATATTCCTGAGCCATTTCCTAATGAAAATCGATCGTAATATAATTTCAAGCCTTCATATAGTCTTCTTACTTTGCAAGTTGGTTGGTGTGATGTCTGTACAGGTTTTACCAACGTAATAAAAGTAGATGTAAACGAGATGTCACTATTGAATATTTAACACGCGCAACATTCGAGAAACAATCGACGGCTTCGCACGTGGTCCATACTATCATCTTTTTAAGCGGTATGTGTTTATTTTTTTGACAAAAATGCGGATCGAAACTAAAACTGTTCCTTCGACTTATTATATTTTCGACGTTATGCACCAGTCAAAGTAAACCCTCGCATCCCCCCGGTCGGGACAAAAGTTGCAAAATGCCCCGCACCCCAAGGTCAGGTTTTTCCTCTAATCGAAGCTAACGACCCCGCTCACATCCCCCGCTCTTGTTGAGTGGAAGACACAGGCTAATCTAAATGGTTTAAACTTAATTTGTCAAGTAACACACGTCACCGCTTACAATGCTTTTCAAATGGTATAAAATGTTTGTGGTGTCTTTATAGTCCATTGTTAACCGCCATCTTGCCGGACTAGTACGGCCTAGCGATTCTTGACCCAGTCCACCTCGGCGGAAAATACCCCGGTCCACTCCCCCGCTGCTCTTGGATGACGCGCAAAAGAGGTCAAAGTCACCGATACCCGCGGCCCTTTCGCTCGTCAAATAACGGAAAATTCCCCGCAAATACCCCGCTATGTCCCGGCCGGGGGGTGCGGGGGTTTACATTGACTGGTGTATTAGTGTATCACGTCATATTAACTAACCTCCGGAAGTCATTCATTTCAGATAATAAAATCAAATAAACATGCTTATGATGGTATCTGAATTCGTCCTTGGCCAAACACAAACGACTCCACAAGATCACTCTCTCCGGGCGTCGAAAACATACACAAAATCGTCCATAGTTAATTTTAATCAGACATTCATCTAGAGATAGCACCAGGCAAACCAATCCAGAAAAATATAATCGGCACACTCAACAAATCATGAATCTTGCAACACAGCTTGCCGTTAAAGAACTGCGCAAATTAAAATGTTTGCTGCAATTCAACAACACCTCAAGCAATACATGATTCAAAATGTTTCCACTCACTCTCGTCGTG